CCTTTCAATTTTATCCACGATCACAATGACATCCTACACGCCAATCGTCCGACCGTTTTTAAAAAAGCACAGACTATTGCGCATCGCCGTCGAAATTTTATATTAATAAATATTAGCCAAACCTTTGAAAGGGAACGAAGGAATTTGGACCCTAAGGAACATGATAACAAATAAATGAATTATGCGTCCACTGTTTCTAACCTTTTCGGCTTGCAGTTTAGCGAGCTGTTGTTTTAGTTCAAATATTTCATCACGCAGCCCCTGCTCAATTGCATCAGCGTCGTCACATGTTTCTCCTAATCGCGCATTCTCTTCCTTCAGCACTTGCAGCTGATGCTCAGTCATCTGTAACAAGTCTGCCTCAGTGGCAATCTAACATTACAGCTACATTTTGAAGTATTTATACTCTACATACCTTTAGCCTCTCGTTGGCCTGCTGAAGTGCAGAAATTTCTTCGCTTCACGCATCCCCTAGTTTATGATTTTTGCTGCCTGCTTATCTCCCTACGATAAGATAGAAAGTTGCATCCTCAAATCGGCAATCTAAAACCACATTTTTTAATGCAGCAAATCCAATCTACATCTCCAATATTACTCAAAACGGAAATAGAGTTAGCTGTTGCGTTAACAATTCAACATTTTTGGCCCCTTTTCCAGTTTCTTTCGACCCCGTTCGGCTTCTTCCTCAAAAGCACGTAACTAAACAACGGAAAAATTGCATTTCTATTAATTTACGAGTTAAAAGAACATTCCAATAAAAAAACACACCCGTTTGAAAGGCCCAGTTCGAAAACGAGTAAAAACCTAGAAATTTTAGGAGCACAGAAAACACACCTCTTCTGCGAACTACTCATTCTTATTTTTCAAATTCTTTATTTCTTACTCATAAATGAGCTGTGACTGTGGAGCTTTTTCCTAAACAACTTCGTTTAAAAATTTCCCCTTCATTTATGAATTTTTTAAGGTTTAAAAATTTTTTTCAAGCCGAAGATATAAACAAAACGTTTATATCTTCGAAATCGACATAGCAAATGAATGAGTGGTCGTAAGACCACGAAATGAGGAAGTGAAATAGATAGTGAAACTCAAATGTTTATGTTTATTATAAAAAGTTGAGATGTAAGAAGGACGTGTAGGGAAGCTAAATGTGAACCTGGCTGCCTGTGTTTCATCCCTAAGCTACAAACACAGACAGTATGCGGTGTGGATTGGGGTGGGAATCATCAG